TCCACGCCTCCCAGGTCCACAACATTGGGCCTCCTCGAGAAGGGTGCGGCTGTGAGGATGTCCCACGCGAGAACGCCCGCTTGGGAGTCGTCGAGCTATATTCTGTGTGGCGCGATTGGCGGGTCCATTTCCTCGCATGCCCGGCGTCAGGACGACGTAAGCTCTTGCGACAACCTCTCAAACAACTATGCCATCTTGAGCTCTTTGCAATGACTGGACCCTGATGTTGAATCCAGCACTTGTTGCTTCTCCTTCCTCCAGCTTCCTCTTTCGACTCCTCTCTTCTGTCGGCCTCCTCCCTCATTAGCCTTTCCCAAGTCTCCTCGTGCCGGGGCTACCCACAGGACACTCTACTCAGAACAGCGTTTTGAATAGAGTACCCGACGCTCGCCTCATCATCGTGCCTCTCTCTCCTCCTCCCACGCCGTGTGTGTGTGTCATCGTTGGGCATGCTCGACCACGGGAGTGCTACATGCTTTCCGGCGCGACGTTGGGTCGAGCACGGACGGCCGCTCAAAAGCAGTACGTCGGCGCGCCGTTCGCTCCGACGCCCTGCCCTCCGTCCTTGCGAGGGCGCCGCGGCCACCAGGGCGAACTCCGCCTCAGACGCAGGGTGTGGTTTATGGTTTGCCGCGGTGCCGGAGTCGCCAACTTGGACGCGTTCAGAACAAACGGCGCGGCAACATATATGTGTATATATATAGGTGTGCATATATATATATACACATACATATATGTATATAGTCATAGACATACAAATTTACATATATATATATATATATATGTATGTATATACATGGTATATATACACACTTAATAACATATATAAGCATCGATATACACATGAAGATACGTATAGCGTATAGCCCCCAAAACAGCCCCACGATATTCCCAATATTGCTCTGAGGGACCAAGCAGGCCGCAGAGAGCCCCAACGGCCCAGAAGGCTCTTCAGACGGCTTGAAAACGGCCTCAAGAGACCCTGACGAGGGCCCATTCGGGACACTGCATTAGTGCAGCGACGATCCGAAAACCAGTCGAATTATCAGAGTGAGGTGACCGAGCGGTCAATCACTGTCCCTGGGCGCGTGGCTGAAGAGAGGTTCCGCGGTGCGGATTGTTGTTGAATTCTCAGTTCTAAAGAATGCGTATTTGTCGTTGCCCCCCCTTCAGTACCCATTATATTTTTCAATTGACGTGCCCCGCCATCGGGGCTCGCGCCTTATTTCTTATCGGTGAAAGCGTGGTGTCATCAAACTGTGTTGTTGGGCTCCGAGCAACAACACCAAGAACAACGACAACAACAACAACAACAACAACCGCAGCAGCAGCAACAACAAACAAGCAGCGACAACAACAACAATACTAACAACAGCAACAACAACAACAACAGTCATTGTAAGACTGTTCGCCCTTATCTGCTCGAGTGTCCAATAACGCGTATTTCCCAAACCCTCGATACCTGGCTTCGTTCGTCTTCGATCGAACCCCTTTTGGGGGGTACACTTTTCTTCCCTGCAGGCCGGGCCCTGGCAAGCGGCGGGGCGGCCGCGGACCGTCGTCCTGGCCAGCGGCAGCGACGGCGACGACGACGACGACGGCCACGACGAGCGAAAGCGAGAGCGAGAGAGGACGACAGCAGGGCCACAAAGGACACGAAGTAGGCCACGAAGGGCGACAGCGGGGACACGAAGGGAATGCGCATGGGGCCACGAAGAGCGCGAACGAGCGGAGGCCACGAAGGGCAGATAACGCGGGGCCACAGAAGGCAACGATGGGGCCACTGAGGGTAGCAAGTGGGCCACGTAGGACAGTGAGGGAGCCACAAACGGCGACAGCGGGGCCACGAAGGGCATGCACATGGGGCCACAAGTGGCGCGACTCCTGGGCGCCTGGGTGTCGTGAGCGCGGCGCTTGAGCAACTTGCAGGAAATTCGAACGCAAGGGCGCTATTCTTCAGTAAATTGCAAGCAAGTCTCCAGCGAGAGCGCGACTCCAGAGCGCCGGGAGAGCGATTCCGGAATAAATTGTAAGGGGGTCCCAGTCGAGAGCGCGATTCTTGAATATAATGCGAGGAAGTCTCGGGCGGGAGCGGGGGTCCTGGCTAAATTCTGAGGAAGTCTCAGGCGGGAGCCGTTGTTTTTGTAACCCGGGGGCCAGGGGCGCAGTTTGAGCATCAAGATTTTTGTTGTCAGAAAAACAGGGTGCAAGCGTCGAGGGGCACACTTTGATGGAGAAAAAACAGCATGCACCGGTGAGGGGGGATCAACAATTATTATTCTCTTGCACAGGGTGTCTAGAGCTCCGACCACTTTATTTCGGCGTCGTCGCCCCCCCCCCCCTCCCCAGCTGCCCAGTGCTGGTGCTGGTGCTGGTGCTGGTGCTGGTGCCGCTGCTGGTGCTGCTGGTGCTGGTGCTGGTGCTGGTGCTGGTGCTGGTGCCGCTGCTGGTCCGCCCCGACCACTTTATTTCGGCGTCGTCGCCCCCCCCCCTCCCCAGCTGCCCAGTGCCCTTCGGCGTCGCACAGCCCCTTCCGCCCCGACCACTTTATTTCGGCGTCGTCGCCCCCCCCACCCCCTTCCCCAGCTGCCCAGTGCGCTTCGGCGTCGCACCGCCCCCTCCGCCCCGACCACTTTATTTCGGCGTCGTCGCCCCCCCCCCTCCCCAGCTGCCCAGTGCCCCTCG